TGACTAAACTACCGCCTGCTTTTGTTGTGGAGGGGCCTACAAGATGTAAACCCTTGATAGTACCATTTCAGAGAAAGCAACTTCACTAATAGCTTTGCAGAAAGGATCAGGTGGAACCCCAATCATAAAAGTAAAACAGTGAAATGGAAGAGTCCAATTGTGTTGGAATGTTTATGTTGGGATGCATAAAGCTTTGTCAGGCAGAAAGTTAATATCATGTTAATAAGACAGTAATGATCAGAAGTGTTTGAAATGACTTAAAGCCCTCAACAAGGAAATCAGAGGAAAAATGGGGTTGTAGAAAACTTTAATTATTCAGAATATAGGAGAGAAATGGAAACAGGAATCCTAAAGCAGAATGTAGATTTACGGAAATAACAAAGAGAAATTTAACACCTGGTCTAAGAAAAAATGACAGCAATTTGAAGAAAGTTACACATACACACACCCTCCCCTACCACCCTCTCTCTCCCACTCAACTCCATCTCTCTCTCTCTCTCTCTCTCTCTTACTTTCTCTCTCTCTCTCTCTCAAGATATACCAGGGAACAAAGTCTTATGTGATTAAAGGAATGAGCTACTGATTAGGATAAATAAGAAATAAACGCAGAGAGTAAAATTGGGGAATCTGAGAAGATAAAACTTTACTAAAGTAGAAGCAGAATATTTGGAGAAAGATTATTTAAAATTTATTCCATGTTTTTATTTTACATAAATGACAGTTTGCTTAACTTCTGAAATACTATAGTTTAATAAGTATATAAAATTTTTAAAAATGTCTAAAATATGTTATAAGTTCAAATATGTAATAACATGTAAATATCTGAAAAAGAAAAGAATTTTTGTTTTTGACCTGATATTAATAAAAATGGCATAGATACATTAAATTTATCTTTAATATTATTGACACTTACATGGCTTATATAGATGTGTTCCAAAAGGAGAAAAAATAAAAATTAAAAAAATATATTTTGACACTATTAGCTATGAAATGCCAGAAAACTTATCCATATGATTCCTGGTAATAATCTATGATATCATTATTCCTTTAGATATATTTACATATACTTGAATAGTTTGTGCCACTTAGAAAAGTTAAAATATATCTAGGCTCTAATTTCTTGTGGCATAAGCGTATATTCTCCAGAAGATTAAAGTTAGTATGTAAGCCTTTATTTATTCAATGTGTTTGATGAGTGGAAAGGAAGGAGAGTAGCATGTATTTAATAAACAATCAGCACAGGTTGTTTACAACTTATTCTATTTCACAGCAATAGCTATTGCTAGCATTTAGTGTGTGTTCTTTTCCTATATTCTTTTTTTTCATTGAACACATATCTATATATTTGAACTTTTAAAAAAACACACACCATACAATGTAATCTTATCTAGTAATTTGCTTTTTACTCAGTATATTTTGAATGTCTTTCAATATCAGCAAATAAAATAATTACTATATTCTATATTTAAAAATATATCATAATTTACTAAAATATTGATGAGAATTATGTTGTCACCAATTTTCTTCTCCTCAACCTACACCTTCTACATTCATTTTTATACTTCTGTACGCATCCTTAGGTATGCTGAGTCAATATCATGCATATTGATAATTATGTTAAATGTTGCTAAAAAGTTTCTGAAGAGATTGTGCCATTTTATGTGCTTATAAGCAATGTAGGAGAGTTTTATTTTCCTAAAGTTTAAAAAAAATTCCATTATTTCTAATCTTTGTCAATTTGATTTTGGCCAAAATGACATTTTCCATTAACATTTCAAATTTGCAATTTTAACTAGAGAAGAGGTTGAACATTTTTTGTATATTTATAGGCTCATTTTATTTCTTCTTTTGGGTAGCCTTTTCAACTCTATCTTTTTTTTTTCTATTGACATGTTTGTCTAGTTTTTAATTGACCTACAAGAACCTTTACATATTAACAATTTTTTTCTCTCACATAATTTAAATGTCTCCCTCAGTTAAGCAAACAAAGAACAACTTAAAAGTCTTTGTTTCTTAGTGAACAAAGTAAGTCCAACCCCTAGATAATAAAGAAATTCTTCTTGTTTACTTTAAATTAAGTAAAAGGAAAAATGTTAGGGCAGCTGTTTCTGCATTCTCTTTTAAAATAAAGTTCTAGAATAATTTGAGTTAACTTATGTCCAAGATATGTTACCCACTTCAGGAATGTGTAAAGTGCAGTATTAATTACTTTTACAATTATTAAATAATACACTGTTTAAAATATTGGGCATTTTAGAAGAATTATTGAAATAAGAAATATAACCAAAATGACTGAAATTTAACCTTTGAAAGATTGCATTTTTAAGTCCATATTGTGACTTGTCTGATTTTGGATACAAAAAAAAAAAAAAACCTTGATCCCTAGGGAAGCACCTGCAGTAGAAGTGACTACCAGTTGTCGTTTTCCCCAGAACACCCATAGTATAATACATTTCATTCGGATTGTTGACATCCGCGTGGTTCCTATGAAAGATTTTATTTTACTTCTTTCAGTGAATTGAGTCTTTCCACTCTGTTTTTATTTGCTGACAGTAGAAAATATGTCTACAGTTAATTCACCTAATGAATGGGGTGGGAAATTAATTCTATGGGGACTAAGATTGTTTGGTTTGTCATGAGACATACTCGACATTTACAGGTTTTTCCCTTTTGTGCTATAGAAGTACACTGTTAAAAGATTGTGCTATAAATCCGAAAGCATGTTTTGCAAAGTTCATATCTGCATTTCCTACCTTTAATATTAATAGGAGTGTATCTTTAAAGTGAGTAAATTGAGAAAGTGGCTGAAACTATAGTTTATAAAAGAAGATTAGTGGGTTTAATATGCACTGGAGAGTAAAAGAAAAATCTTATTACTGTATGGAGAAATTACCTCATAAAGAAGCTAATACAGCAGGCTAGGGAATAATTTTTAACAAGGTTTTTATGATGCGCAAGTGTAGGCAAGTTAATGAACTTATCTTTCTAGTTATTTTCAGATTGTAACGATGTTCTTCTTTTCCAGTTCTTGTGCTTTAAAAAGTAAAATACATTTAATCACCTACAATAAAACTAATTCATTACTTTAATAAATCAAGTACAATCTTATACTGTACATTTAAATGCTGTTGCAATAATGCTGGAAACCAGATCAGGTGCTAATGTTTAGCACGGATCAGAGCAAAAGGTAACCATGGAGCTTATTTATTATTTAAATTAAAGTGTCTCATTTTTATAGTGCATAGTCATTTTGGGAAGATTTGACTCCCCTTTCAGCTATTGGATGCAGGAAGTGAAGACAAAAGAATGGGAAAATACTACGTTTTAATCATCACACACTTCTTTGCAGCATGACCATGTAGTCTTTGAAATTTACACAGAAATTCTGAAGAATTGTATATTGTACAGCAGAATAACTTGGGGATAATCCAGTAAATACAGGATGCCCCGCTGCCAGCATCTTGTTTGGAAGAATTAGGGATTATTTAGGAAGAGCATGTCTGCATTTTTCTGCTCAAAGACAAAAGACACACTGCTGAATCCTCGTACTAATTGCTGAGATACTTTCTATACTGAAAATGCAATGAATTTGTTAAGATAAGATGAAGGAATAGGTACATGAATAAAGAAATAATGTTAAAAATAAATCCTTTGTACTATTTAATCTAAATTAGATTTAACTCAACAGATTCACCATCACCCCAATTTATGATATGTAAGGTACAAACATACGTGCATGTGCACACACACACAAATACTTTATTTTAATTTTAACTTTTCTTCAATGTTGGAATCCTAAAGAAAATAATTTGAATTATGAGGGTCAGTGTAAAATTCTACACATATGCCATCTTAGAAGCAGAACTAGCTTAGATAAACTTGTGAGGTAGGCGCACACACTCTCCTGATTTTACCAACCTGACAACACAGACTTTCATAGCCCCATTTAGGATCCATGTGCCCTGCAGCCAAACAATGTCTGCAAGGGTCCCTTGTTATAGCATCTGTGCTGAATGTCACTCTGTCTGTTGGACATGTCTTACTTCTTTTTACTCTTCACCTGTCTCCAAATCAATACTTTTCTGTCTTTTACTGCTCTCTGGCACCTTCTCTGTTAAATCTCAGTGTGTCAAATTTAATTTAAGTAATTCATACTAAAGGGCAATAGCTGATAGATTACCATCTACTGATGGTAAAATGCTTACTCATATACTCTTATATAATGCTGGCCATAGGAAATTCAGGCAAGGTAGGAGCCTGGTGAAGAAGGTACTATATTTTCATCATTGTTATTTAGGGTGTCCTTAAATTACTCCATACAAGTAGCAGCCCACTCTGAGTTTCTGTGAGGTTGACTTTGCCTAATAATTAATGTTAAATAATAGTAAAATATACTAATATTTGAAAAAGTTGTTTGCTCTACACAAAGTAATTTACAAAATATTTTGTATAATTATCTATTGCTAATACATATTGCATGTGCCTATGTCTGAAATAAATCTAGCAGAGCATCAATGGACATATTTACTGCATCTAAGAATTCACTGTTGTATACATTCCATCTAGTTCTGTCTAGTTGTTTGAGTTGCAGAAATTAAATTTCCTACGTGATATCCAAATAATGGCAACTCAATCAATCCAGTTTTCAAGGGTTATAAACGAGTATAAGGGTAAAATTGATAGCAAATTATTTTTGGTATGATAAAATAAATATATATTGATATGTTTTTCCATATGGAGGGATTTTATTCCCAAAGCAATTTTTGGTTGTTGGATAGTTTGATAGATTAAATATGCTACCTGCTACAGTTTTGGTGGATCAGTCACTGGTGGGAAAAATGGCATAACCACCCAGAAGGTTATCTGGAAGGCTGACTCTCACTCTAGGGGTAAAGTTGGACTGTTGGATAGTGTCCCACAGTCAGCAGCGAACTAAGCTCTTTCTGTATAATATTCATCTTTACATTGTAAATCATTCCTATTGTCTCTTTTCTCCCCAGGTAAATCCTCTCCAAATCTTCAATAGTATTGTGCTACTGTTTTAAGGAAATGAGCATCTCTGGATGTTTTTCTCCTACGCCAAAATCAGAAAACTTCTCATAAGAGATAAGATGTATAATAGAAAGAAGGTAGACAGAACATAGAAGAGCTGGTAAGTGTGTGTTCCAGACCCAGGCATCAGTGCAGTGGGAAAAGAGTTGACCACTGTGGGATTGGCAGTGAGGGTGGGCTTGGGTGGGTCTACAGTCTGCAGCCATGCCCACTAAGAGGCACTTTCCAAAACTTTCCTAAATCAGAGAGGTGATCACCTGGCTGAAGCCCAAATGCCTGATACAATAGTGAGACTAACTCAGTAAAAAGATCAATTGTTATATAAAATAGTAAATTTCATTGTTTTTTATTGATACAAAAGAAATTAATTCCCTAATTTTGAAGATTTAGGCTTCTAAATTTTTTCTTCCTTCTTTTCCCTCCCCTTACCTCCCTCTACTTTCCCTCCCTCCCTCTTTCCCTCCTCCTTCCTTCCTTCCTTCCTTCCTTTTTTCCCCTCCTTCTTTTCTTCTTTCCTTCCTTGTGATTATAAGAAATATCAAAATTTCTGCTTAAGATAAATTCCAGAAATAGTATTATTAGATAAAAATACATTAAAAAATCAAAGGCGTTTAAAAATATTTTTTAAAAATTCCTTCACAAAAATTCTCCCATCTTGCCCTTCCTCCAGCAATATATAAATCCCTACTTCTCCATCCCCTCTCCTACACTGGATATTATCATATAAGAGTATTTTTCATAAATCAATAGCTATATCTTGGTATCAAGAAAAGTACTTATCCAAACTCAATATTTCCCAGAAAGTGGATCGGAACCCCCTTGTAATAAGTTACAAGAGGGGCAATGCTATTTCTAAGGTATAATTTTACATTCTATTCCCTGAATTATCATTAATACTGGGATAGTCCAGCAAGATTCCTTATTTCTTAATGTGACCAAAAGCAAAAAATCTCAATATGATAAATTTAATGTGCTGGTTCCTTAGTCATTAAAAAAATTCCTATCTCAGGCTATATTTTGGCATTAAAACTAACTAATTCATTTTAGGAATTATTTTTTTTTACAGTGCTTTCCTAGCACAAGAGTATCATCATCAGAGGCCTCCAGACTTAGTTGTCCTTTCTTTTCTTGACAGTTTTCTATAGGTAGTCAATTTAAAGGTTGGTCACAAGTGTACCTGGGTATAAGGTCTGTAGCCAGCTGATGTTATCATTAGTGATCGTTCACAAAGAAAGCAAATATCTCAGAGGGAGTCCACTTGCAATAATGGCATTTAGGGCCAAACTGCATGCATGCATGTGTGTATACACATGTGTAATTTTTCCTGGAGTAGGGATGAGAGAATAATTTAAAAATGAATAAATGTGCAAATGAGAGATTAATCATGAAATGAGTTTTTTCTTGTAAAATAGTGCATTATTATTTGATTTGTGATATTACCAAATATAAGAAGCAAAAAATTTCATCTATGATATTTGTCCATTCTTTGAAAATGGGCTTTTAGCAGATGCCATAGCTTTATCCTTTGGTCGTGCTTAACAAATATGGCATATCTGCCCTATGCTACTCCAAATCTGCAAAGTCCACACCCTGATTTAGTCCGTTTTTGTTCAAAAGCTTTTAGGAGCCTGCTGAACATATTGACTCATGAACATGTGGTATATGTTACCTATCTTGTTTTTGTTAATGTATTCCACATGCTCCTGGCCCATTTTATGAAATAATATCCTTTGTCTATTCTATTTGTCCCCATTTCCTACTGTTCTGAATATAGCCATTCTCTTTCATGTTATTTGCCACTGAGAATATTTAATATGTTTTCCATTCATAAATTTATTTTACTGATAAATTATGATGCTTTCAGTATTGTTTAGCATCACAGAGGGCTAATCCTTCCTAAGCCATATTTTATAAATATTTTAACTTTAAAATAGGCTTTAAAGACAGAGATTCAATTGGCAGGGAAACAGTCTATTTAAAATCTGTTACTTATATAAACATCAAGTAGCATCACACATTCTCATTTGCTACTAGCTGTTGCTTATTTGAAAAATCTTTTACATGGATAATCAACCATGTATTACAAATCCATTTATTAAAGCAGATTTGTGTAGAGTGTCTCTGGACAGAAGGCAAATGGAGGGTGGATGTATTCATACACAAAAATGGAGAAACCAAGCCCTTGACTATAATACAAACTGGAGCACACCTTTTATCCGATAAATGAATGAGTTATGCTAATCTGAGTACTCTCCTGATTCCTTATCTAGCTCACAATATAATGCAATCCCTTAAGATGTACAGGGACTAAACACTCTCCCTCTATACCCTTCCTGAAATCAGAGGTTTACTTGTAATTAGGGCCGAGAATCACTCAGCCAGAGCTGTCAGCCTGCCTGGTTACTGACTGAAGCAGTTTCTCAAGCAGCTTTCAAAACTGTTGAGAAATCTGTCAATGAAGATGCAGCTGGGGAGACTCCACACACAGCCAGACTGGCCTTGCCTGGCTCAAGACTGGTCACACAAGTCGTGTTTCCATTTTTGGGTTTGGCTCCAAGCCCCAGGAAATGCCTGCCCCTTTTCTACTCTCTGTGGGCCACAGTAGGATACTGAAAGATTTTGGGCCTAGGGTTTAGACAAAGGCCCAGAGGTAGCTTTGGATCCACCATGAACTAAAGGCAATTCACTTCACTCTCCTTTTCTACAGTAGCTAGATAGACAATAATCTTTATCTTGCTTTATTCATAAAGTTATTGTGGGGATAAAATTAGATAATTTGCATAAAAATATTTCAAGAGTTTGTGTTCAACTTCGTGCTTTTCTCTTTTTACATATTTTCAGCAATAAACTATATATATATTTTAATATGCCAACATATTTTTAATAAGTTCTACTTAGATATAATATGAACATATTCTAGAGAATGTTTGCTGGCAAAATTAAAGTAGCAATGATTACTAGTAGTGGGAAAAGGCAACTTGTTTGCAAATGTACATAGAATAGGACCCCAGCATGAGGTAAGTTTATTTTTAAAGGTTTGAGAAATAAATCCGTGCAAACATATACTTTTTGAATCCTAACCAGACTCTGAAAAAAATCCAATATAATAATATTTGCCCATAATCTAGATGCCAGTGATGTCAATCCAGTGTGTTTTAGGAATCACCTGCAGCAATGAGACAGTTAGGAAGTGACCCTGAGGAAGAGCTTTGATGAGGTCTTCTTTTGAGATGAAGAACGCTTTCCTAAGCAGAATAATAGGATCCTGGCACCTCTGTAATTTAGGAACTACTTGTATTGTTCTTGTTTACGCCTGTAAAAAGAGAAAAAACAGAAAGTAGGAGATGGGAGCTGTCTCTTCTTCTAAAAACTTGCTTGCCATCCCTATGAATAGTTAATCCCTTTATTAGTTGATCTTCAGCCTTCTCCTGGGCATCATAGTACCAGTTCTTTCCTTAAATTGACCATGAAATGGTTTATTTGCATATCTTGCCCTTTTTTATGCTCTCAATCCTTCTAAAATCAAACCACTATTCCATCTGAAAATGGTATTCTTTTATTAGTATTATAGAAGTATAGGCTCTTAAAAATAATTATTAACATATCTATTTTTCCTAACAGAAATTATAGGAAACCAGTGGCTGCTGGAAATCATACAGGAGGAGAAAGAACCTGTCATCCTCTGGCCAAATGATGAACCTATTTAAGTGACATGTTGGTTACATTTCTAATGATGTGTTAAATTGGCCTTAGGTGACCAGGTCATAGGTTAGTAGAGGGCAATATTAGTTGGGGAAGAGTTTTGAGTCTCCTGGAGCAATAATCTCCTTCCCCTCCAATTAAAGGCAGTCAACAAAGGCACATATATTGACTGTGTAACTTTTAAAAAATCTAGAATTTAAAATTTTTTTATGTATTTTACCCTCATTTATTGGCCTATGGTAGTCTCTATTTTTTTCACTTCAAGACTTACCTCAAATTCTGTTTATTTCTGAGATTAAAACTACTGTGGGTCTTAATGGTATTAGAACCAAAAAAAGACATTTCATAGAGCCCATAAAATTTTTCTCTCTGGAAAGTAAATGGAGAGGTGGATACGACTTTCTCCTGAGATGCAGGAAAGAGATTAGTTTGGGAGTAAAACAAAGTCATGAGAGCAATCCCACAACAATGCAGGTAAATACAGTTTATTATTCAACAGTCAACTTGAATATTAGGTAATGACAGAAGATATGGTCATTTCTCAGTCTTAAAATCTGGACTCCCAGCAGCTAACCTTAAATTTGGTAGGAGACTTGAAACAGAATACCTGTTCCCACTTCCTAAACTCTCTTATCCACCATGGCTCAAAATGTCAGCAAAATTACTGACGTGTTTTATTTCTTCTCCATAACCGGTTAGTCATCAAGCAGTCCTGAATTTTCTTTTGAAATGTCTTGACATTTATTCTTTCTCCTTCATTGATGTTGATATATCACCCCAGAATAAACTCTTCTCATTTTGACTGTCAATTAACTGAAATACTCTATTAATATTTGATTAAATAACCATTTGATAGTATAGCATAGTGATAGACTATTGCTCTATCATGGAATAGAAACACAAAAATAATCAGAGACCATTAAAAAATGTAATTATGGCAGAAAAACTGACATAAATAGAAATATTTCAAAATAAAACTATTTATTGCAACAACTGTGATAGTTCCAAATATATTAATACTAATGGGATCACTTACAAAACTGAGACTGATATTTCCACAGTAGTCTAGAAGCTATTACATGTAGGCATTTTCCATGTCAATTATTTATCAATTGTGATAAATGGTTCTGATTGATTTGTATCAATGTGGACAGAGCCTGTAGTCTTGATTATTCAATACGCTTCAATTGTTATACATATCAAAACTACTACTATACTACTAATAATGAAGTTTCATCTTGAGGAAGCCTGTAATTCAGTTTTGGTTATTCCAACATCTCTTTTTACACTGCCTTAATGCTGCCATTTTGCCACCAGAGTAGAAGTGCCAAGTGTGTCCTGCTTTTGAAAGAAGCGTAGTGTTTAGGTTTTTGTGTGGTTTTTGTTGTTGTTGATTCA